CCAACTGATTTGTCCCCGTCTGTCATTCGTTCTATCGCTGCCTGAACTCGTCGCATGAAAATTTCATCTTGTAACAATTTTGCGTTTAATTTCCATAATTCCCAATGAAATAGTTTTTTAGAATCATTTTTACTTCGTAGGGAAAACTGAACCAGACAATGGTCGCTAAAGGACACTGGACTCGCATGATAATCTTGACACAGGGGAACTAAATCCAAAGGCACATACACTCTGTCTAGACGGGCGTGACTGAGCCCTTGAAAGTGGGTAAATTTTAGAACTTGACCATTACGGATACAGTCGCCAACGTCCTCCAATCCAAACTCGTTAATTAAATCTTTTAAACATTCAGTACTCGCGTCTATGTATGGTGTAGAGCTTGTCTTGTCGCTTGCCGAGCACACACAATTAAAGTCCCCAAGCAGGATAACAAGTCGCGGACAGTTACAATAGTACTGAACGCCTTCAAAAAAGGCTCTTCTTTCCCCAACTCTGGTAGGCGCGTACAAACAGATGATGCGCCATTCACTCGACGAAAAGGAAAAATCGCAAACCACGAGGCGCCCCGACTCACAAGCCGTAACGGCCTGGACTACTGCCCCTAGGCACTGGCGAACCAAAATGACAAACCCCGCGGACGTCCCTACGGCTCGGCTGACGCAAACATTGTAGCGGGCCGTAAAAGGCCGCACCATGCGCTCAGTCTGGTCCTCTCCCTCGACCTTGGTCTCTTGTAGTGCAACAATATCGAGGTCGTGGTCTACGACTAGGCGGTACAGTTGCCTCTGCCTTCGACGGTCCGCGAGCCCTCGCACGTTGAGGGTCGCAAGTCGTACAGGCCTTTCGATAGAGATCATGAGCTATAGAAGGGCCAGACCAAGCGCGCGGCGCTTACCTTTCAAGATCATCGTCGCACGGAGCAGTACGCTCGCACAGTGGCTTACTGAACCAGATTGTCGCAGTCCATCGGTGAAGAAGACGGCGGCTGGCTGTCCGAGCCTTTCCAGCCCTCCACCACCTTCCATTTCTTCTCTTGTTGTCGCTGCCGTCCGTCCTTGGAGGCCGCTGGGAAGTCCTCACGCGGGCGCTTAGCAGAGCCAGGCTCGGTGTCCACCTCTTCCTGGGTGGGTCCCCCCTCAGGAGCCTGAGCCGCGCCCGCCTGGGTTCTCCCAGGCGGTGCGGCCGACTGGGTCCCAGCTGCTTGCGGAGGGGACGAGGCCGCAGTTGACTGAGGCTCAACTGCCTGCGGAGGGGCAGGAGGAGTGGTCGACGGTTGCTGCGGTGACAGGGTGTTCCCCACTGTAGGGACGATGTCGGTCGAGTCGTCCACCTCCTTCGGCTGCTCGGTTGTGGTTCCGGCGGGTGCAGCCGCTTTCTCCGCCTCGTCCTCGTCCATGAGGTCGTCAGTGTTGTCGTCGTACGCCCTTCGACCGGCGGCACGGGCGTAGGAGCGGACGCAGTCGGACCTCTCGTGCCCGAAGGCACGGCACTCTGTGCACCTGGGGGCCCGGCAGTCACGTCGGATATGGCCCGTCATGCGGCACCGGAGGCAGAGGGGGGCCCGCCCAGGCACAACGACGAGCACCATGCCGCCGCCGAGCCGAAGCTGGTGCGGTAGACGGTCTAAGCTGACACCCTCCCGGAGAACAAGGCGCACGACACGGGTGGTTGACTCGACGCCGTCGAACCCCGGCACCTTCCAGCGCTCGTGCGCCACTTCCTTCACCTCTCCGTAGTCGGCGAAGGCCCGATGGATGGCGTCGTTCGTGACGCCAAACGACACCCAATGCAGCTTTACCCGTAGCTCCTGCCTGTACGGGTCCACGATGAGGCACTTGCGGCCCTTGACAACGAGTTGCCCGGCCCCGAGAAGCCTCTGCTTAGCCGCATCAGTCCTCAGGTCGAGCAGCCAGACATGGGACATTTGGAAAGCCCCGATCCTGGCCACTTCCCCGAGGACACCTGCATCGCCGAGTGGTCTACGGAAGTCCTCGAGTCGATACGGACGGGAGGCCATGTCCGCGTGTAGCACGACGGCACGCTTCATCGCTTCTCCTGAAGGCAGCTGGGGTAGAGCAATCCGGTATTCTTCGTCACCGGAAAAAGCAGAGTCACCGCGGCCGGCGGGGTCCGTTATCACCGCTCCTGCGGAGCTCATGATTCTGCGTCCTTTCGCTACGGCGGCCGGAAGAAGAATGCTCGTCCACGAAATATCGCGGAGTGACTCATTTTTTTTGCGTTTTTTCATGCGCACTATTTCAGTAGCTTTCCCAGCGTTGCACGCGATGTTTGAAACGGAGTATAGGCAAAGTGAGGCAAAGCGCCCGCCTGCGGATGCCCAAGTGACGGGTTCGAATTCCGGCTGAGGTCCCGCAGGCTGTTCGAAGCCTCTTGTAAAGAAGGCACCGCCCGGGATATGGTCCAATTTTTTGTATTGTTTGTGTTAATTTTTGGCCTACCAGTCAAACCACGTGGAGTTTTAATACCCGATCATGATCAGGCCCGAGAAGATATTCCAGCAGCTGCGATGACCAACTTAGCTTCGATTTGCCAAAACCAATATTTGAGTAACTGTTCTACGGTGTTATGTTTAGGGAGTACCTGCTGTGCCTGTTTCAGCTAGTCCATCGGTTACCGACGTCCGCTGTACAGGACAGTCCTCTTTTTTTTTTCTTTTTTTTTTGTTAAAAAGATTGATTTCATGATTTGTTTTAATTTTCAACCTTTGTTTCAGACGTGCCCCGCAGTCTTCTCGTCGCAGTGTGTCCCGGGATATCAACTGAGCACTGCAGTGTGCTCTTCAAAAATCAGGCCTGCGAGGCAGAAAGCCCTTTAGAATCTGTGGCACTTTGATTCTGCCTGGCATGGACATTCGACCTTTAGTACTTTGTTAAATATTGTCGTACATTTGTTTCAAGAGACGAGTAGGTTTCAAGCACACAAAGCTGGGCTGTAATGGGTACGGGGCTGCTGACCACCCTGAGTCTGAAGAAGACCAAAAAGTACTGAAGCTTTTTGTTTTCCACATGCTGCAAAAACGTGTGTCTTCTCTGACTGTGTAATTAATGTGCTTAAAGGGAAGATGGGGCACTTCTACATTTGAGAAAAAACGCTTGAATTGCGTTCATTTGGCCTTTAGAATAACAGATATCACAATTATATTTAAATGCGACGCGCCGGAGAGCCATAAGAGCAATTTGAAAATAGGGCTGAAGCCCCGCCTCCCTAGCCTTGGCAAGCCAAAAGATCCGTCGATGACGTCACGGACAGCGACCATCTTTCGCGTTTTTGTCGCGTTTAAAAATACTTGCCCGGCAAATGGTTTTGGTATTCGGGTTCACGAGGTAAAAATACACTAGAATTCACTTCTAACTCATTTTTTTCAAGAAGCTCCGTAGCTTCCCTTTAAGGAATACATTAGCATTTATGAGAGCATTCTCTGGAGGTTGCAAAGCCATGTCAGGTGTTTTTTTTTTAGGGGCGAAGCTCCTTAGGGGCTAGCCATGCCCGTATGTCCGTTGGCCGTCGGGTGCACGTGCTGTGAGCTCACGCGCTCACGTGCTCACGAGCACGTCCTCCCGTGCTCGTGTAGGGCGAAAGAAAACAACCGCATCTCTACGTGGTGAATGATGTAAAGCCCCTTGATGATGTTGATTGGGGCGAAGCTCTGGTGGTGCTTGTCTGCGCAGACGCTGAGCCGCAGCATGCCGAGCTTTTCATTCGTTTTCATCCATGTCACGTTGCAATCAAGTGCTCAAATGCGTATATAACCACGTTCCATACCACACATTCTCGTTCTGACATGAATGAAAACGAACGAAAGGCTCGGTATGCTGCGGCTCAGCGTCTACGCAGACAAGCACCACCAGAGCTTCTCCCCAATCAACATCATTTACCACGTGGAGATGCGGTTGTTTCTCTTCTTTTTCTTTTAATATTCCACTAATTCCGAGTGGAGCTCTAAAAAAATGATATGGCCACAAGGTTATATTTTGGTCATTACTTCAGTGACAACAATACAGCCTTATGGTCACCGAAGAGTCTAGGAAAAGCATGGGGGATAGGAAGCTTCTGGAGGCGACATGACGCTACCAGGGGTGAAGCCAGAAGTGTGGAGGGACACGTCCCCAACGATGACCAAGACCAAGAGACGCTATTGGACGAAAAGGAGCGCCCTCTCTTTTTCGTCCAATACTCGCTACCCTTCAATCAGAGCCAATCAGAGCCCGGCGTTCTGACGTCACCGCAGCCCCTGCTAAAGAAGCAGACGAACATGAGCTCCGTATAGATGCGCGTTGGTGTCTAGCCAGGGCGCGCATTCACTGTGCTGTTATACGTTAGCATTTCCTTTTCTGTAGACCCACTGCTGTGACACCCGACACATTCCAGGTGGGTCCAGAAAAAGGCGTCATCCACTTGGCCACCGCGGCTGTCGTCAACGCCCTCTGAGATCTCTGGGGAAAGATTCGAGGCAAACTGGTCTGGAAGCTCTTGGCAGACATGGTAAACGTGACTCGGCAGATTTCTCACGCATACATTTAGCCTAATGTCTGCGTGTAGATTCACCGCGATTCGGGAAAGGGGGGCTGTAAGGGCTTCGTTAGATTATTGAACCGCGCCTATCCAATAGCCTTGTATGCTATCATGGTTCGGTTGGTTAGGGTCATTTGGACTCCGATATCTAATAATATAATGTAATGCCTATATATATAATATAGGATCGGTTGTGTAATAAAATAGTGTACTATATCTATAATATAGAATGGGTTGCGTAATAATATAATGTACTATATCTATAATATAGAATGGGATGTCTTCTATATGAATGAAACGATTATATTGGCATGAATATATATGACAACGTATAACTTTCTATTCTACTTTCCCATTTCAAACTTCCTTACTTACATCGTAAAGGTATTCGAGGCATGTTAAAAATGCCTCCCTACGTTCGCTGCTAAAAATGCAGCTGATTAAAAAAAAAATCTTGGTAAAACAACTTTTTTTTTCCCCCAAAGAACCCCGAAGAAATTGTGTCCCTCATCGATTTCAGATACTTGTGAGTGTTTTGAAGCAAAACCGATTTAAACGAATTTTATTGTTTCTGAACACGAATCGTCGATGCAATGAAACCGTCATCATTTTCAGGTCGGACATACTTACCAGGGAGGAGGCAATAGGTACACATGCAACATACTTTAGTATTGAATGAGATCATTCTCAAGTCCACAGAAATTAATGATCTTTCCCTCCACTGTTCCGCTTTAGAAATTCTACAAAAGAAGAAAAGCACCAGGGCCCAACGAGGTAGGATCAACTCAATAACGCATATGAAAGCTGATGTCTATATGTTCAAAAGGCACATGTATAAATTCCTGCAGAACGTGAGTTGACAAATAATGCCTACCCCGCTTACACCACTGCATGCGGCTGGATCGGCTACGGGGATGAGAAAATAAAAAAGGCAAGTGATTAATTCCAATTGTATGGCCACTACAGCCAAAAGCGAACATTCGGTTTCTAGCATGGAAGATATAATCCTCTTAGCAGAGAGAGGAGAGAGTGAGCAAAAGTGGAAAGTGCCATATGTATTATGTCGGCCTTTAGGAACGAATTTATTCTGTTTTGGATCGCACCACATGGCCGATCGCGGAACTGCATTTCGATAAATGTGGAATAAAGAAACGCACTATACAAATTACATCTAGATAATTAGTAATTCAGAATTGCCTCCGGATGTCACAGGTTCTCGCGATCCTTTTCCCGCGCTTCCTTCTGCACTTCCTTCCCGTACATCCCTGTCGAAAAGAAACGCGCGAACCGCGTCATGCGATTTGGAACCGAATGGTGGAATCTGCTGGAAGCCGAACCCGAAACGTAATAAGCCGAATTAATAGGGCGATTATGATAGACCTTTAATGACTGATTCTTAAAACATACCTGAACTTGCACACTGTCAAAATAACTAAGCTGGTTGTTTTTCTTTCCGTATTTACATTTGAACTGCGGACTTTCCTAAACGAATGCGACGGTTTGTTTTCAGCTCTGTCGCGATGCTTAAAGCGAAGGGTTCACGAGGTACATGTACACACATGGAGCGAACGGAAACGAAATCGCTTGACTTTCCCTCCAGTTTCAAGGTCAAAGTGGGACAAAATCTGCTGGACGACAGTCGTCCAAGTCGTCCGCTCCACCATTGGTGACAAGTGCAAGCTGGTAACCCAAACTTCGTGCATATGTTTAATCATACTTATTTTTTTTAATTTATAATTATACTAGTTGTTTTACTGCCACCTATTTTATGATTGGGAGTTTTTTCACTAAGGTGTTTATTTTTTATAGGTATTTTTGTTACACAAGGAAAAAAAAAGAACATCGAAAAGAGCTGTCTCTTCGTAGGCTTGTCTCTAAGCCTTCTTATTCTTAAATTGATATGTAGTGTGCCTATACAATAGAATTTAGTGTTGTGAAACGTGCCAGAAAAAAATCTGGTACTGCGTGTAGAAAGCTCAACCTTTCACCGAATGTGAATTTTTCCTGCAGAAAATTTAAGGCGTAGCCCCCTTCACATGACAATTAAAACGAACAGTGGCCAGTGTCAATTGCAGTCATCTTTGCAAACGACAGAGTTAGCGATGGTTGTAACTCCCGATAACCACAGCGAACAAATAAAAAAGCGTCTTCTGCCAGCTGTGCTTCGGAGAAATAACGTCGCAGTTTACAACCATTGCCAACTCTGTTGTCTGCAAATATGACCACCGTTTGCCCCAGCAAGTTCGTCTCATCCTTTACAGAAAGGAGGCGAAATCCCTTACAATTTCAACAGGTAACATGCACTCAGTGAAAGCTTAAACTTTTAATGTGCAGGCACCAATTTCTCGGGCTCGTTCCGCAGCACGAAGAACCATGGGACACACCTATATGTGCTAGTCATGTTAAATTTTGACAAGTACTTCAGTGCCAAGAGGGCAGTATTCTCTTATATATACTTTCTTGTAATGTGCAATTGTTTTGATTTTCATCGTTCTGTAGTTCTGGAATGAATATGTTTCCAGAATGAAAGGGTTAATTTTTTTCTACAGATAGCTGGTGCAACGTGTTTCGTTTAATGATGACGTTGGCTGTTAAAGCCTGTCTGAATGTTCGACTGTTGTCCGCATATCCAGTCTTCGCAGGCGTCATTACCATTTAGATTAGGGTAGGACATGATGCTGCTTGATAGGCAACACAGCCTTGCTTTTTCCAAATAAAGGTGCGCGACTTTTCAGATGTACTGCAATATTTCCACCTTTTAGATGTAAATGAGAGTTCTGCGGTATTGAATACCTCCTTGTTCTGAAAAGACACTTTGTGCAACTTTTAAAAGTTCCACAATCTGCCTTTTTTAATGGGAAGCTGTTCAATCCGCAAACCATTCACTCTTGTTCACAGCTGACGGGTCTCACTACTAGTAAATTCGTCTCTAAAAGTGTCAAAATTCGTCCACAAAGGGACGAACGTTACTCCCTCATTACTATAAAATTCATCCCTAAAAGTGTCAAAATTGATCCACAAAGGGACGACATTTACTCCCTCAATACTGAAAAATTCGTTCCTAAACGCATCGAATTCATCTGCAAAGGGACGAAAGTTACACCATCGCTACTATAGAAAATAGTCTCTTAGGTCTCAACATTGATCCTTAAAGGGATGAAAGTTACTCCCCTAATGTCTATCAAATTAATCTCTAAAAGGTTCAATAAATGGTCCTCAAAGGGACAAAACGTACTCCCCGTCACTACAAATATCATCCCTTTAAGTGGTAAAATTAAGCCCCAAAGGGATGAAAAGTTAGCGCCCAATCAGCACTGTTGATCCTCAAAGGGATCGAAGTTACTCCCCTAATTGTAGACAAGACGGCGCTCAAGGGACCATAATTAATCCCCTGAAGAGTTACTTGGTCCCTGATGCCCTGATGTAGGAACAGGGACGCTCCTTTTAACGGATCATAACTTCGACCTAAAGGGATTAATGCAAAGGGACTAAAAGAAAAGGAAGGGACTAGACCGGGCTTTTGCCATTTGGCGGTGACAGTGACATCGATTTAGTCCCCAAAAGGGACAACATACTACTCCTTTTTTTTTTAAGAGTGTAACGACATTCGTCGCTTCACAGTTTTAGACGCCACTGACATTGCAGACGCCCAATTATCTGACCAAGACCTACATCCAATCGTTAATTATCTCTTAGGAAGAGCCGCACACCCCACGCGGCAGTTAAAGCGGCGTGCCCGTCTTTTCGAGCTTCATGATGGTACTTTCTACAGGAAAAGCTACGGACCGCACGGACGCGCGTGGCTTCTGGTCGTTCCCCGTGTACTCCAGAAGGACATCATACAAGCTCACCACGATGACCCAACTTCCGGACACCTCGAATTCAGCAAGACCTTCGCATTCGGGCTCGTTATTTCTGGAGCGGCAAATACCGCGCTATTTGCCGCTCCAGTCAGTGGGCTCGGCACACGCCGACTGGACAGCATGGCTGCCGATCCTTTTCTACCAGGTCATGTTCCTGCTGCTGTCCTGCACAGAATCCCGCACTCTTGGCAGTCATCCTGACGGTACAATCAAGAGCTCCGGAAGGAGCGAAGACAGCTTTATCTACGGCGCATCCTTGCATCTGGATTGTCGACACGTGCCGAACTTGGGGGAGGTGCCTCTTGGAACAGCTTCAGCGGCAACGGCGCTGCAATCACTGCCCATAAAGACCAAGCCTGACCGGACCAACGCCAGTGGGCTCGACACACGCCGACTGGACAGCATGGCTAAACCGCCGATCCTTTTCTACCAGGTCAGTTGGGAAAATCCGACATCGTTTAGAGGCAGTTATTTTGTAATTGTCTCGCCGAGCCCACGGTATTGTTTGTTTCTGGTGAAGAGATGTGTATGTGTGATTAGCCTCTTGGTTTGCGGTGACGTTGAGTCAAACCCAGGCCCAAAAACTGATCATGAGATTGTAATGAAAATTAATGCTAATATCCAAATACTGCTACAGCGCACTAATGGTTTAGAGGAAAAGTTGGAAAACTTGACCACGAGGGTGACGTCGAGTGAAGACCGTATGACGGCCCGGGCTGAGGAACTTCAAACGCATATTCAAGCCCTGGAGAACAAGATAGATGAACTGGAAAATAGAGAACGAAGGAACAACTTGGTGATACATGGTCTGACGGAGAGTCCGCAGGAAAGTTCGTCCTCGTTAAATACTACGGTAGTCAAGGAAATATTCGAAAAACATTTGCAGGTATCGATAACAAGTATAGAGCGGATCCACCGTCTCGGAAAGCACAAAGAAGGCTCACGACGCCCCGTCATACTTAGACTTATGGACTACCGGGAAAAAGAGCTGATACTTCAAAATGCTAAAAAATTAAAAGGCACAAATATATACACTGATGAAGATTTTCCATACCGTGTTCGCTCAGTCAGGAGACTTCTTTGGAACAGCTCACGAGCCAACAGGGAAAGGAGGGAAAGGGTGTATTTGTCATATGATAAGCTGAAGATAAATGGTGAAGTGTACATATGGGATGACCAGAAAAATGACAAAGTGAAACAAGTACAAACTTCCAGCCAGCGCCTTACTCCCTGCGCATGACACGGAGAGGAAGAAAAAAAAAAGAACTAAGACTGGTATCCCTAAATGCACGAAGCTTAGTTAACAAAACTGACCAACTAGAAGCTTTAATTTATTGCTACGACCCGCATGTTTTTCTGATAACCGAAACCTGGCTTAATGATAATATTCTTGATAACGAAGTCGTCCCGCCAAACTATATGTTACTTCGCAGGGATAGGTGCGGCAGAGGTGGAGGAGTAGCTATAGCGATAAAAGACAACTTGGCGTTTCAATCCATGGAGCATGTTGGTGACAGTGAAAGTGTGTGGTGCAAGTTGGATTTCTTCGGAACTTGGATAACTGTTGGAACGGTATATAAAAAGCCAGGATCATCCTCTGAGGACTTGGATAAAATCTTGGATTACTTGATCGCAAACACTAATAGTCGAAGTAAATTGATAATTGGAGGAGATTTTAACGCTCCGGACGTCATTTGGTCGGATGATGGTGTGGCTGTCCAGGGCACGAGGATGTCCGACTCGCTTCTACAATTGGCTTTCAGTCGCGGTCTACGTCAAGTTGTTACAGAACCTACACGTGTTACTGACACTACATGTTCGCTACTCGATCTTTTGTTTGTTAGTAATTATTTCGATGGTTGTGAGGTTTCTGTTCATGACGGAATATATGACCATAAGTTAGTATTCTTAAAATGTGATATTTCTGTTACTAAGTCTAAACACTATGAAAAGAAGATGTACTATGATTTTGGTAGGGCAAATGATGAATCCGTTATTGACTATCTTGAGCAGTGCCTCGATAACTTCAATCAGCGGACTGAGGTAAATGAAATGTGGCTGAGCTTTAAGTGTACAGTGGGCCATTGTCTTGCTCATTTTATTCCAAAAAAGATAGAACGCCGAAACCCGTGGATAACACGGGAAATTCTGCACGTCAAACGGAAGCTGAAAAGGCTTCGGAAGCGTCGATCTGATTATGTAAATCAGCAGGCGAGGCAACTAAAAAGCTTAATAAAATTGGCTAAAGAAACAT